TTTTATTCTCTTTCAAATTAATCACATATAACATTCATTTTGCAGAATGTCTACTTAATATTGATGAGAGAGGCACTAATCACGTTACCAGTCAAAGTAAAGCGAAACTATTGTGTTCAACAAATATTTGAGCAAATTCCGAGTGCAATTGCACTATTGATGCTTCCTTGACAACAATGAGTAGTAAATATTTGTGAATCGAACACAGCACTGCATGCGATATGCGAATCGGATGAAAATTTATTAGCATTAATAGAAATTATTTAGCCAAACGACTATTTTAATATAAGCAATTGCAATAACTGACTAACCACTCTTTCTGCTTAATTTGATAAGTACGAAATTCGATAAGATTGTCAAATAAATGCTTTACTCACTTCTTATGCGGGTCCAGAGATTTCGTTAGTATGTTATTTTGACAGTCTGTCATAGTTTTGCAGTTGTTAGGGTCTTGCATAGATTTTGCTGAGGGACATCTATTACTGAAAATGATTAAGCAATGCAAAGTGTCAATGTACACACAACGGTTAAATTAGATGATTTTGACATTCCTCTACATATAATATAGGTTGTGCACTTCGCATTATTGAGTTATTCATTGAGACTGAATACCCATGAAACGTTCAAAATTGCATTTTCGAAATTCATAACTTTTGTTATTTGGCTTGAAGAAATCTGCAGCCGAAGCCCATCAAACACTTTTAAAAGCTTATGCTGATGTTTCGGTTTCGGTTGGGTCTGCTTCGTTGTAAAAGTGGTGAATTTGATGTTAAAACGATGAAAGACATAGTACAGGAGAACCAAAAAAAGCTCGAAGACAGTGAATTGCAACATTTGCAGCTGAAGCTCTTAAAGAACTATCGAACAGTCTGATGAAACAACTATTTCTGTACGTTTACTTGCACAGGGAAAAGTCTGAAAGAGGGGAAAACAGCTGGCATACGAATGCACGGAAAGTGCCGTTTCGTACTGTTTCAACATAGTGGTTTCATTCTTTGTTAGACAAACAAAAAGAGTTTTCTGTGTTGTATTACGACCGACGGTGAAAAGTGGATCTACAATGACAATTCAAAGCGCAAAGAGTTTTGCTGTGCACACATTGGGCTCTGCAAGGCACAGTGTATCGTGAGCTGCTGAAACCGAATTCAGTTGTGACTTCAAATATCTTCCGACGTCAATTGTACAAATTGAGCAAAAAAGGCCAGCAATAGCGGTTAAAAGACCCAAAGTCATCCTCTTGCAATGTAACGTTCGGCTGCACGTTATAACAGTTGTCAAGGATACACTTTTGCAGCTCGAATGCGAAGTTCTGCTGCACCCAGCGTGCGCACCAGACAGCGCCTTCTGAATATCACTTGTTCAGTTCGATATGGCACGGCTTGGCTGGCATGTGGTTTCGATTCGCTGACGAAGTTCGAAAATGGGTCAATAATTGGATCGCTGTCTAACCAATATTGGTCATTTGACACCATGTTGCCACAGAGATGAGAAAAAGTAGTAGAAAGTTATGGAAAATATTTTGATTAACATATATTATGCTAATTTTTCGTCTTTTCTTTTCACTTCTCTTCTTTTTTTTTCAATTCATAGAATTTATGTTGCTAGTTCTTGAACCCATAGAGATTACTTTCGACTGACCATATGGTACATAGATTGCACAGTCTTATTTTTGATATAACTTTTAACAAAACTACTGGGATAATTCGGAGAGGCATTTTTTTTTTGTTTTGTTTTTGTTTTTAGTTTCCAAAAATATTTTGTAAAGGACACTAGAATTCAACAGATTTAAACTCTGAGTGATCTGACGAGTAGTGACCCGACGGTTTGCTTCAATTAATGGCTTTATTTTGTTTTTATCAGTTCTTACTAGCCTTCCAGTATGTCATGTAAAAGCATTGGCGTTCTGTTCCTTCATCGCCTCTATACGCATCCCATAATTTTTTTCTTGTCTTTTGCCCTTTCGATAGTAGTAGAAGTAAACTATCCCGAAAGAGGTGCTTTGAACTTTCCATATTTGGTAAGGCGCCAAGCGCAAATTCAATTTTAAATTTTTCCCATACAAGCATTACAATATAACCTATCAAACATATGAAGGCAGTACACTTCAAATTTGAACTAGGCTGCGAAACGAAATGACTATCCGAACAACCTATCAGTTATGTAGCATTTAGTGTAAGAAATATTTGTGTAATTCCTTGATTTGTTTGAACCAAAGTTGATCTCAAAATTAACAATAACGACGTTAAACTGCTTTACAATATTTTCCTCCTCAACAATTAAAGTCAATCTTGAAAAAAATTTGTCGCTTTGCGACAGTGTTTGATGTCATTTGAATTGAAATTGATTTGCAAAGCCCTTGTTAAAAATTAAAAAGAAAAGATTTCGAGATGATGGTATGTTTGCTAATTTTCTCTTATCAAATAGAAGGAGAGGTATTGAATAAGCAAATAAATCAGTATAAGTAAGCTAAAAGAATACTTTCAACTGCAATTTCGTAAAGAAACTTTATATTTCCGCTTATAAATTTAATAAACTTATAGAGTGCATTAAGAGAGAAAAGTAATATTTTTGATGATATTTTAGGAAAGTGTTTATAGACACGCGCACTCTTGCAAACATGAAAAATTGTTTCTTTACTTTCCGCTTTCTTTTTACAAAGAAATCACAAGCAAAAATTTATCGCATATTCATAGAAATAAATGCATCGTGAATGGATGCTTCGCCATTGTAAAATTAGCAACGGCAGCTAATTAGCTGAGATTCCTTTTGTTAAGATATTCTGCCGCTTAGTTAGTCATTACTGCTGTCAAGTAAATCAAGACTTGAAGCGTTTTCGACAATCATAACGACTTTACAAATCGGACTTAACATTAATATTGATCAATCAATTTTTTCAAAACTTTTGTAAAATGTTACGGATTTGCGCCTAGAGATAATATGTATTTATTTGAAGAGCTAGCCTTGCTGGCGCATTTTCTGAACACAAAGATATAATTCTTAAATTAAGTCGCTCAAAGTTTTGAAGAATTTAATGGTTTCAACGTTGGATTGACACACGGTGTACCCTGACCGGAGAGTCAGATGGGTAACAGCAATACTTAAACCTATTCAAAAATTCACCAGTTGTTTTTGCAAGAATTCGTCTAAATGACGATAAATTTTGTCATGGAAACATTCTTATCCATGGGACCTATTTGCTTCTCATTTCGTATATAAATTTAATTAATGATCTCCAAGCTTGAAAAAATGCGCTCATTTTAAGAGAATGATAAAAATACTTTATTCGCAGTATTATCGATTCGTTACACCGCATGAGCAGTCGAATACGTAAGAATAACTACTCAAAACAGTGCTCGCGCGTTCAAACTTCAAGGGCGATAGAGTTTACGTACGTCTCTTGAATAGTTTTATACAATTTTTATAGGCGTGGCATTC